CGCCTCACCATAGAGCTCTAGTCGCTCTGGGACGCTCGTGACGCATTTGTCAGCGTACTCGTGTGGAGCCGGCGGAGCCGAATTTATGAGGCTTACGCCTGACAGCCAGGCGCCGGCCAAAGCAGACCCGTGGAAGGTATTCGTGGGGTGTAATCCATGTCCATGTTCTGGTGTGGTTGTTGTTGTTGTTGTTGTTGTTGTTGTCGTTGTCGTTGTCGTTGTCGTTGTCGTTGTCGTTGTCGTTGTTGTTGTTGTTGTTGCTGTTGCTGTTGCTGCTGCTGTTGGTGTTGTTGTTGTTGTTGTTGTCGTCGCAATCGCGGCAGGGGAGTATGTCGTGGTTGTGGTTGTTGTGTTGGTGGTTGCCGTTGGTGTGGTGTTACTGACGCGTTGGGGGTTGTCTTAACCTCCCCCTGTGTAAGACGGGGGCCGGGACTTCGGGCGTCCCGGCAGCATCCTTCATCCGAAGGGGGCTGACAGCCCGGGTGTACGTGGCGTACACCGAAGTCGGGAGAGCCATCTTGCACATTGAGTTTGCGCAAGCGAGAGAAGCAAGCATCGACGCTGGCAACCTTTGTTGTAACCAGAGGTAGATGTGAACCAAGTTTTTCATCAGGGCCGAGCTATTGCTTGTTGAGGCTCAACCCATCGCAGTGGTCTAGCAGATAGTCGGTTCGCCGCAGACGGTCAGTTGTTTCAAGTGTTTTCACCGAGGCAACAACGTTGGAGGAGTAGAAGTTAGCAAGTGGAGGGGTACAGAGTTACGAGAGGCAGTGATGGGTAGCCAACATGCCTGTTAACCATACATGGCATCATCCCCGTTTGCAACCTTATTTGTGAGCAGTGCGACGGACAACGTCTCAGTGAGGTGATGGTTGTCGGGCTCGGAGTGGTCGTGGTTCTTTGGCTGGCCCATTCACGGATGCTATGGCTGCGGTAAGGTGGGTGAGCGCCTTACCGCAGCCATTGATTGTCATTTTCCCAGTGGGAAAGTAGTGGGAAATCCACTACGTGGAAAATCTCTACGGGGTATAGACACCATATATAAGAATATATACTAGATAGGAGATACGTATATTATATATATATGCTTGCTAGAGAGAGGGCCTTGAACTTAAAGGAAGCAAATCCGGGAATGCATCCTCTGGGGATTTCTTAGGTCATGGGGGATCCCAGACTCACCATGGTTGTTGCAAGACGATGGCATGGTCATCCATGACATAGATGATTTAGGGGTACCACCATGTTAGGACACCATGTATAGAGATATAGATATATTATTTATAAAATACAATATGGATAGGATCTATGGAGTTGAGGATGATGGTAAATAAATCCTATCAACTTGAGATGATCATGGTTTTCAGCCTATCTTTGTGAGCCACCGCCTAAAAGAATCGTAGCCACACCCCGAAAGGTACTCCGGCAATGTGCATATATGCATAGATGTAGATTGTAGATACACAGGAAATACGAACGGGTCAGTGGCTGGTCCTCGGAGGAGATTGCAAATACGAGCAGTTGAGTGACTGCCACATGACCATGTTAGGAAGGTAATCCTAGAGCATCCAGTCGGGAGTGGGAGTTAGAGGGGGTCAATGGGATATGAACAGGATAGATGTTGGTTGTTGTGGTTGGAACCCCGGACCAGAGCAGCGGGACCGTGCAACTGCATGCAGTGCATGGGCGGCTGTCACCACGGTGGCCGGTGGTGCGGGGACACACCGCTCCGCACACTTGGGGCCAACGCCCGGGACGCCGGGTATGACAGCAAGGGCGATGCGCTAAGGCGCCTTGCTGGGTGTGCGCCGATCCCGCGGGGGTCGGGTGCGGCTGCCGAGGGAACCTGGGGCCATGCCCGGCAGCATCGGCGTCCGAGGACGCCGAGAGATACCTGGGCGGGCCCCGCCAGCGTCGGCACCGGCGGGCGAGTGTGATTCTGGGAGGCCATCTGTTTCGATGGGTGCGCGCACGGGGACGGTAGGCCACGTCGTCGTCGTGGGCGGAGGCGGTGTCGTTGCTGTGGCAGGTGGTCAGTGCTGGGTGCGGCGAAAGTGTAGTCGCAGTAGGTGTAGTAGTAGTCGGGGGAGCAGTAGTCGGAGTAGTCGTCGAAGTAGTAGTAGTAGTAGGAGTAGGAGTAGTAGTAGTAGTAGCAGTAGTAGTAGTAGTAATAGTAGTTGTAGTTGCAGTAGTAGTACTAGTAGTCGTAGTGGTAGTAGTCGGAGTAGTAGTAGTAGTAGTAGTAGGAGTAGTAGTAGTAGTAGTAGTCGTCCTAGTAGTAGTAGTAGTAGTGGTAGTAGTAGTAGTCGTAGTAGGAGTAGTAGTAGTAGTAGTAGTAATAGTAGTAGTAGTAGTAGTAGATGTAGGAGCAGTAGTTGATACAGCAAACACCTGGTATGTAAACACTGGCATAACGGACATAAAGCTTGACCGGAGTCAAAGCAAAACGCAGCAACCGACACCGTTGTCGGAGACCGAACCACTGCGCTGGACCTACGGCAAGTTAACGCCAGAGGCTGCCACAGCATGGTTGCAGCGTCTCGCAGAGCAGGGCTCGGTGGCAGTCGATGCAGCCGCATGCAGTGCAGAGCAGCGCTCAGCCAGTGCAGAACCGCGCGCAGCAAAGGCAGAGCCGCGGTCAGCATGTAAACCCACAGCCGAACAACTGAAATTCCTGCGTGCTGTCGTTGACCGCTGCCTCACAGAGGCTCAAGAAGAACAGGCCGAAAGTTCCCGCAGTGAGCCGTTGCGTGCAGTCTTCCACGGGGTTCCAGGTGCAGGCAAAACTCAAACCCTCAAGTGGTTGCGTGCTTTTTTCGAAGATATGTGTGGGTGGCAGCATCAACAAGAGTTTAAAGAATTTTCCTTTGATCTGGGGTCTGGAAATGGTCTGGGGTCTGAGGGCTTGGGCCCCTCAGTGGGACATTGACTGACTGACTGGCTGACTGGCCGTTGGCCGACCGGCCATTGGCTGACGGGCCGTTGGCTGACTGACTGTCACTCACCGAACTGGAATCGGACCTGATCTAATATTTAGAGCCCGTTACCGGTCAATGATAATAACGGCCGCAGACAAACACGACTGGTTGCTTAAAGCGTGCAAAAACTTTGTCAATGGCACCCTCGATGCCTAGTGACCTAAGCCTATCTGGCGCAAAAGCCAAGATGCTTTGAAAGCTATGCGATGGCTCATATGTTTGTCGCGGCTATGGCAACAGCTCTCACATGGCATGGTTCCCGCAATCTGGGTCTATTGAATTTTTAAAGCTTAACTTATTGGGACTTGATTTTTATGATGTAGGAATACATTCTTCTTCGGAGGACTACTTAGAACAAAGAAGTTATAATAACAACTATATACAAACTATTCGACAAACCTTGCAAAAAATAGTAGGTGCCGTGTTGCGCAATGAAGCGTGCGCTATATACACCATACCACAGCAAACCCCTGACCTTAGATGGATACGCCAAGCTTAGATTTGCTAGGTTCACGAGTTGTGAATTTCCACTATAATGTGACGCGGGGCATTTGACCACCAAAATTTAAGGGCAAACAACCTTGCTCACTTGTGATTTTTTCTGTGCGGCATCAGGGTGGAATTCGTCCAAGTTGATTATCAGGATCAGTCCCTCAACCAACACGTTTTCTGTGTTGGGGTGCGCAAACCAACTCGGTTTGAAGATTTTTTTGGGTTCATGACTGATGACGTGGAATTTGTTTGAGTGATTTTGTGTGTTGTCTTGGCTGTTCAGCTGTGGAATTGAGTTAGTGGTGGTCCAGGTATGTTTTTTTGCAGAGCTGCAGTAGTGTTCCTGCCCGCTTTCGATTCAAAGCTGGCCCGGCCCAAACCTTGGGAAATTGAGACTAAAAAAGGGCAATGGCAGCCCCGAACCTCGCTCCGATCATGTCGCTGTGCGCCCCCAAGTTGTTGAATCCAATTCTGTAGCTGTCGGTAGTTAAATTTAAATGTCAGGCTTAATCCCCAAACGTTTCTCTTTGGTGACATGGTTAGGACCGAGTCCGAAGATGAGATGGAGACGGAAGAGCTATCAGTCCACAACCCTGCTGAGGCTCGTCAAATTCCTTGATCTGATGCGTGTTTTTTGGGTGTACCGGACCGGAAGGTGGGTTTCCAAGACTTGTAGTAGAACCACAAAACTGTTTTGATTTTGAATGTTTATTTCACTACCGGAAACAACCATCACAAGAACTGAGTCTGGCTTGCTGTCTGAACATTTCACCGGTGCGACGTGTTGCAAGGCTCCTCTTGGTCCTTGTCTCGCAGTGGAGGCCTGACCCCGTGTTGTCCATTCGTTTTTTTGCCGGCAAGGAGAGAGTCATTCAACAAACATGACCCCATTGAGATTCATTTTCATCAAGGCAGACATGTTTCAATTTATCTACTATATACTTTGATGCTAGCAGTCAACCAAGTTGTGAGCGCTTGAAAGGAGTGAACATTCAAAGAAAAATGATGAAGCATGTTTTGCCTTGCGCTCCTTGCCTCCAGCTTATTGACTTGGCGCTTGAACCCCTGCTGTGTTGCCTCGATCGTTCCCAAGATTAATGTCTTGTGTTTGCCCTGCTCGCCTGAGCTTGTACTTCCGCGATGTTTGCATGCCCAGCTCTTGGAAAATTACTTTTCTCCAATCCGTGTAGTAACCACCCTGTGCTTTGTCATTATTAAGTACAATAAGTATTTTGCTTTGCCCGGCTCATGCAACATTCTTTCCAATCCGTGTATAGGACCACACCGGAACACTAAATGAGAGTGAACGAACCTTATTTTTGTGCAACGGTTTTTTTGAGGTGCAATTTTTGCATGTCCGAATTTTTCACAGCATGTTCAGTCAATTTTGGCGGTGCTCTTGTGATGTTTGAAATTGGAAATCAAGTTGACGAAACAGAACACCATTGGCCCATTCGTTTCCCACCATTTTGTGCAAATGCGAAAAGATTTGAGCAGCTTGTGTCAAGCCTGAACCGTACATACTCCTTGGCCATGAACAGCCAGATGCACTTTGTGCAGAGCGCCGCTCTGATTTCGATCCTGCAGGGATTCGTTGCTCCATTGGACGACACCATACTTCCGGGACGCGTGGACAAACTGGAAGCTTGGTGCAAAGCATTCCATGCCATTATAGCCTATCTTGGGAAACCTCCCTACTTGAATTCCATGTGGTTTTGGTGGGAGTCGACAGCCAACACACTGGCCTTTGTGGAAGCTAAAATGTTCCCGGAACAGCCGGTCATGACACAAACGCACGTGGCTGCATCGGAGTCCAAGCGACCCATCCATCACCTTGGTCTTGACGCATGGAAACTTAACAACAAGAATTTGATCCGACCAGCCTGGGAGGAGCTAGTCAGTTTCAGTGACTGGCTCTACAGTGCTTACGACCCCACTTTGAACGCGGACATCTTCGAATCCCTTGAAGATTGCCTCTTGTTACTTGAATCGGCCGGTCATGCCTGCGGCCTCGACGTTTGTGCGTGCAGACCCTTTGAAGTGGCAGCGGGCTCAGGGGGCAGCAAGTAGGGAAGAACGGCTGTGCTGGAGGATTCAAGGCTTCGTGCTTGGCCGCCCTGGGCTTGTTGAAATGCCTGCCGATGTATGACCTTTCTTGATACTAGTTGGAACTTGATTTTTCTGCGTGTCACAACTGGAAGCCTCCTATTTAAAGCTGCTGAATCCAGCAGCCAAGCATGTGCTATTTCCTCCACTTTGCATGTGCGAAAAAGAGTGGTGCAAGTGCAAGTGGTCAGCATCCCGATTCCAGTGATGATGTTTTTCAAGTATATGTTGTTTTCATGTTCGATGCTTGTTTGCTTTCTGGATGGTCCCTAACCCGTGCATGGTTTAAAGTTCCTTTGCTTTCTAGTTAGTGTACCTTGCACACTGATTCCCGGTACCATATTTAAAAAAGTTGGTCTGGTTCTGTTATTTTTTGGTAGCGATCTTTATTGAAAGGGACGCATGTGTCACTGGTTGACTATAAAGTTCCATGGAGGTCTCTGGAGATCATTTTCGAGGAGAAAATTGCAGAAAATCTGAGCCCTTCGCGAAGGGCTCAGATTTTGATGAATTTTTGGCCCAGCGTAACCCTTGAAGAGCAGACAGAGACCTCCATGGAAGCCTTATAAGGGTCACACCAAACCCTTTTCAGGAGTATCTCGGGCCATTTTGGGGGCTATGTTGAGCCATGTAGGGGCCAATGACGCCCATGAGGGCGCCAAAATTTCGCGTCAAAAATTCGGGAATTTTCGACGCGAAAGATTGTACCAAAATAATCACCAAACTGGCCACCAAATGGCCCAAAAATGCCCCGAGATACTCCCCAAAAGACCCCCATAAGGCTTTCATGGAGAGGTCTCTGGGTGCTTTCTAACGGTTATGTTAGATTAAAAACAGATCAAAATCCGAGCCCTTCGCGAAGGGCTCAGATTTTTTGCAATTTTCTCCTCAAAAATGATTTCCAGAGACATCCATGGAACCTTTTATGATTGACTACTCGGATTTTCATGTCACACGACCAATCTGGAGATATCATTCCTCTGTTCAATCCTTTGCCCGGCAGGGAAAAAGACACGTCCGTCGTCCTGTCATAAAAAAGCCGGCGGGCAAAAAGGTCAAGGTGCAGCCTTTCCATTGCACGTCGTTGATGGTGGAAACCGGCCATGTTGAGAAAGAACAGCATTTTTTGGATTGGCGTGTCGCATTGGGCTTTACACGATGTATTCGATTGCTGACATTGCGCTGTAAACTGTTTTTTTTATCACAGGTCTTGAAGAAACAGGCCGGCAAACTTGCAGTCAAGGCCCAACCTTGAATATTTTGCAATGGGGTTGTTTCCTGCCATGTTGCGTTGAAGCCTGTTGTTGAAACTTGCTTTATATTCTGAACATGGTTTTACTTAATTCGCTGAAGGCTGGTGGAGGACGGAAGAGACAGCGCGTCTATTCGGACAAGGCTGCTGGCTGGATCACCAACTAGACCCAGCCATGATGTTACAAGAGCAATAAGCAATCATGCAGCGAATCTTTACTATCCATTTGAGATTGGGAAACTTATTTCTTGACTTGCCGTTGCTTTGTGATTTTGTTTGTGCCAGGTCTGTTTTGTGAAGAAGACGATCTATAAACCAAGACAGATGGGGAAGGCGACGGAGACACCACTGCACGTAAGATCCAATTTGATGTCATTCATTTTTGTCAAGACCCGTCATTTTTTCAATTTCTTTGCCAGTTGCCTCCAAGCGGCTGGATCCACGACCGAACATGCGTCAGTGCTTCCGTCCCGTTGCGGCATTGCCAACCGCTGGATCTCAAAGTGGCCCAGCTCTTAACAATTTTCAGAGCCCGGCAGTGCCTAATAATAATTTTCTTTACACATATTTGGCAAATAGTAGTATGTAGGTTCTTTGCACATCTTTGGCAAGTAGTGTGTCGCTCAGGTCAGCCAGGTGAAGCCAGGCCTCAAGCCCAATGGTGCTGAAAAATTTTCGGGTACCAGGATCTTTCGGTCTTGGGGAATTATCAGTATGAGGCTCAGTCATTGCATGTTTGAATTCAGATTGATGACATGTTTGAACTTGAGTCAATGGTCTGATTGCTACAAGTCGAATGAATGCAGTGCTGCAGACTTTGCCTCAGGATGCTTTTCGGCGTCTGTGACAGCAGCGTTGGGCCCAGTCAGCAAAAGAGGGATCACTGTCATTTCCTCAGAAAAGAGGTTTCCCAGTTTGCTAATCACCGTGAGTTGCTCCGAGTTCAGAGGTTCTGCCAATTTGTTAGGAAGATTTCATTTTAGCAGGACTTGGCGAACATGATCAAGCACAGTGACCCATATCGAAAGCTCGTCAGCGAGGGGCTTGAACCTGGCAGATGGTTGAGTGTGGTTGCTGCCGAGCATTTCAGTGGTTTGCCAATGAATTGGACAAGTCCTGCGCCTGGCTCCGTTGACATGCAGTGCTTCCGGGAACATTTTCCACATGCCGAGGCCTTCAGAAGATCAGATTCAGATTGTTTTAGTGGCAGTTTTTTTGCAGTCAACCACTCGGAGCTTGAAACTTCTCTGATGATGATGATGATGATGACGATGATGATGATTATGACCATGCGCGGTCTTTTCAAGTTACCGGCAGGCCTCCAGAACATTGAAGTGCGTAAGTCTCTTTACCGGCGTAGCTGGTTTGGAGCTGGGTCTCAGTAAGTGCCCCCCTGAAGAATGTTGTTGTCAGACTCGTGTTTGGAGCAGCAGTGTGTGGTTGCTGAGTTCTGCATCGCTCTTGATTGCAGAGTTGGCTTCAAACGCTTTGATGCAAACTTCTATCGACGTACGGCAAAAATACAGACAGATAGTCTTAGAGTGACAGGACACGAGTGAGTAAATTGCAGCAGTATCCTTGTGGTACTAGAATCCCTGACCCAGCCGCATGTGAAGCCTTGCGATGGAGACCGTGCGCACTGTTGGCATTAACCAAATCAAGCAGCCACCTCAGAATTATAGGAATGAAACTAGCATGTCTGTCAGCCTGTCAGCTTTCAGCAAGGTTTCTGTGGTGAAAAATTGGGCGATCTTTGGCGGTCAGTCCAGAAGAAGATTCTTTAAGTAAAGCAGTTTCATAACATTTTGCCAAGGGTGCCTCGTGGGTCTTTGATTCTTTGCCGATGGCAGAACTCAGTGTGAGCGGCTGAGGAAAATCAAGACTTAAATAAATTTGTATTATTCTTGTTCGGTTGTTGCCAGGTGTTGACGATTATATATCAGTGAACAAAATTGAGCCGAGGTGGGTATGGACCAACAACAAGTGGCAAGCATGTGAAGAGTCTATGTGGAATGTGTGGGCTTCAGCGCGCCACCAAATCTTCTTCTTTGGCCTGTTTGTTTCTCATTGCCAGACATGTGCCAAAGCCCATTTCAAGCCCCACCAAGGGCCAAGACAAATCTGACGCGGCCACAAGTAAGTGCAGGATTGGAAGAGCCAGCAGTGCCGCCTGTAGGTCACCGCTGCGAAGACCCACAAGGAAAGAAACGACCGCGAGCCTAAAATATGTTTGCACTGTGTTGCAAGTGACTTTTGATCGCGGAATTTAAGTGCCTGGGGCGGTCGGATTTGACTTGCAGATGTGATAGCCGATTGCCATTTGACAAACTCAATTCAGCTCAATTCAGTTCAAGTCAATTTAATGTTGGTGATGTTTCTCCATGCAAAGCCAGGTACTTGACACCGGTTGCAATGGCCCAAGCCTCACTGCCGTCTTCTGATAGTTAGATCATGTTTGATTCAGAGTGTCAAGTAAGTAGTCCAGCATGTTTGTTTTGAGGTGGAGCGCGATGAATTTTGTCAGAAAATTTTGAAGGCCAGGATGCAGGACAAGTGCCTGCCCACTTGCGATGTTTTTGCCGATGTACGTTCGTATGAGCCAAGTGGTGAAGCGCTGTATGCTGAAGCGCTAACTGCTGGTTGGCCATGCCAAGTGCATGCCTCAGTTTGGGCAGTGGCTTTTGTCACTTTCTTGCTGTGGCGGCTATTGGCAAATTTTCCAATCTTTGACATTTTGTTTGAGGGCATCTCGAATGCGGGGGGCCAGCGTGGTATGAAGGATGCGCGCAGTGGATTGGCCAAAGAGATTTTCCGGATCACTGACCTTTTGCCGCGACTGCCAGCGTCTCAAGCTGGGACAGCCACAAACTTATAATATAGGAAGTGAATTGAATGCTTCCATCGAACTTGCTTCCCTGCACAGACAAACGCGCCCGATCCAAGTTTCCTTTTTTAACTCTGAGGAAGGTGCTGTTCCTTGAGAATGTGAAAGCTTTGCTCAGCACACAAGAAGGGTGCCGAGGCAGCTTCAACTACCTTGAAAAGGACCCATGGGTTCATTATTCTTGTCCTTTTTGCAGGCGTGGCACGAGATGATTGTTTTTGTTATCATGACATGATAGGAGTGCCGCCGGCGAGGGTTCCAGCTCGCCTGGGCCACGGTGAGGCTCTCCCAAGTTGGCTTGCCGGCATCGGGCTTAAAATTCCATGTTGTAATCAAGATTTGCATGGAAACTGTTGCGGTCTAAACCTCAGGCCGGCAGATCCCGAGTGTTTCTCTGGGCATTCAAACCTGGTCATCTCCCGGACCTTCTCAAGGACCTTGCAGTGTGACAGTTTCGCAGCAATTTGTCGCAGACAGAAATTGGATCTTTATTTCTTGTTGCATCCTTCGGCAGGGTCAGCCGCAGTACGACTTGTGGGTATCAAAGCCTTGGAATCCTGCCTGCAATGTGGCATTCAAAGACTATTTGTCGACCAGCCTGACTCCAGAGGCGAAGGAACGCTTGAGAGTCATGGGCAACATAGTTGTCCCATGTCAGGCTGCTTGTGGTGCTGCAATCCTTGCGCATGTTTCACAAATTTCGGGCTGAGTGTCAACTGTCACCTCACCCCGTGCAGTTTCGAGCTTGTGGGCCCTAGCTTTCAATAATGTCTACTGAGCGATTGTTTGTAGTGACGCTGTCCATTACACTCTCATCCAACAACACTG